ACAAAAACATACAACAGTGAGGATTCGCTGGTGGTCACCCACCCAACTACTAACTCACCGGCGTGTGGCTTAAGTACGGCTGAGCGGACGGGAAGCCCTGTTTTCCACACCCTATGGTCGTATGTGTTAGGTATTCGTGGGAGAATTATAGAATGCAAACCTGTCTAGTGAGAGGAGGGTGCACTATATAAGGTGAGAATCACGACGACTGCGAACTGACGCCTCAGCTGACGGGTGGAGCCAAAAAAGGCAATCTTACAGAAAGCCTATCCACCAACCAATGAGTTCGCCGATGGCTTCATGCAATACCTACTAGCGTAATAACTGTCTTGCTGATAAGAGAAAAGACCGTCTGTCGAGCTGACGGGAGTATCGTCGCTTTTGTCGGAAGCATGATGAGCCTCTGGGGTGATATCATCGGGAATGCTGTTCGCACTATGCAAGCCCAGAACAACTTATCCAGTGTTCTATATATAGGAAAGGCTGGTTCATTACGAACACAAGATATCCCGAACCAGGTCCTCGTTACTGGTGAAACAAGTCGCCTCAACAACAAAACTTTCTCTTGGAAAAGCCCGCTCACGACGACACTATCAACAGGGAATATGGCACACCTTTGCCATGGGATTCATGTTACTGTCCCAAGCCCATTGGTTGAGACTGACGATTGGCTGGCCAAAAATAAGCATAGTGCAGATTGGGTCGACTGCGAGGTCGGTTACCTGGCACAAGCCTGCGAGGAACAAAATACTTTATTTGGGTATTTACACTTCATCTCAGATAACGTGGCGCAAAAGTACCTGTACAATCTTGCAACAGAGCGTCAAGATGCTGTTATCAATGCGCGGAAGGGTATTTGGGGTGGAATTCGGCGGGTCCTAGCCCTTCATCTAGGTGTAAAGGATCTGGAGGGTGGCGCGCGGGGTGCGATTTTGTAGAATATTGACTAAACTTGAGGTCTCATACCGATATCTTCTGATAGTTTGCTATTTAATGATGGGCGATATAGTGAGCCACTATACTATCAATAGAAACACAGTCTTTATCCAACTGTATCACACATCAGATACGATCAGTTTTGCAGCTCGTGGGGTCATGTGGTTAAAAGAGTGTAAAAAGCAAAGTCTAACTCTTTGCGAATCTTTGCAGGTGTAGACTCGTTTTTGGTTGGGATTCCCCGTCCATCCCTTTTTCTTACTAGATTGCCTGCCTTGAGTGGTGCATTGAACCATCTTTGTCTTTGCGGTCTACTTAGGCGCACACAAACTACAGGTGAACAGAAAAAGAATCTTCTTATGCGAACTCGAAATATATATATCAGCCCGTAAGCTTCGCCGGCCGGCTCAGGGGTCCATAAACAAAAAGACCACTCCGCCTATCAGCACCTACGAAAAGCACAGCCAGGATTCCAGCTCCCCGTTGTGATAGGAGGCAACGGTGCATTTCCTGACCTTCCCCTAGTACCAGCGCTCGGGTCGCTAGTACCGTTTCCTCCTGTTGCTGTCGAGACTGGTTTGAGGGTGAGCCTAGAAATTTCAGCATAATAGCACTCATCATCTGACTACCTCTGATTGCATTCTCTATTGAACTTTGTCTATTATATCCCCCGTACTAGCGGTTACTATAGAGGTCTTTGCCGTCGCCGGTGTATGACTTTATAGCACCCTCGGTGGAAACTTGGAGTTTAGGTAGGGTCTTCTCCCTAAGAGAAGGGATGATTAATGCAATATCTGAAAGCCACGACACCGTGAGGCCTTTAAAAAGTTGGCCGTTCGCGTTTTTATAGTATTAGCCTACAGCTTCGCACCGCTAGTCGGTGACCGACCACACCTCCGTGTTTAGGTAGGAAAAATGTAGTAAACAATAAATCTAGTAGGTTGTTTATGATATCGAGCTATTTAGTATTATTCGTCTATATTGATATTTGGTTATTAGTAAGTCTAAATAAGATATATAGGACTTGGACCATGAAGCAAGGTACTGAGAACTTCCCATTTAGTATGAGCGTCGACTATCTACGTCATATGAAGGCGTACCTGGATCAGCTGTGTACACTCTGTAGGTAGCATGGCTATGTAGGTATGGAGTACATCGTCACCCCCGGGGTAGTACTTTCTCTTAGCCCTATCATGAGGCGTTTTCAAGGTTTGCCCAGGTCCACAGCCCTGTTGAGGGCTGAAAAGTAAGCGCCAAGAGAGCGCCACCTGCTGCCAAGAAGTCCGCTGCAACTATATTGTATGTTGTACAATATGAGATGGCCTCTCGAAATCATCGCCCCCAATCAGCCAAGTAAACAAACAAAAAGTTGGAGCCCCTAAGAAGAAATGCCCCCAATCGGACAAGCAAGCCATTAAGAAGTACTCCATGATACACCCAATCAGCCAAGGTGAACTACGTATCCTTTGAAGCCGCCCCCAGACGATAGGTACAACAGCCCCAATCAGCCGAGCATGCAAGCCACTGCAAATGATGTCATCTAGATTCCCATCTGTGGACTTATGCTCACTTTTTTACGAAGGCAGAGGTTGACACAAAGAAAGCGGTATAATGACCTAGCTGATGTGGGAAGCTGAAGTTTCTGTAATATCGGACTGGTTCCCCTAAGGTCGCAAAAGCATATCCAGATCACATTTACACATCAAAAACAATGATCCAGCTCCACCATGCACGCTCGCCCTTTCCCTTTCCCTATTCATTTCTTCCACCCTTGCAAAGGATGGTGAACTCTCCTCCAACACTTGAAGGCCGCGACGAGGTCTTATGTCCTAAGGTATCAATGACCGCTGCACAGTGGGAGACAGTACCTTCCTTGGTATTGGACTATCTCGTATCCCCGACGTTCCCTCGCCTCTTGATGGTTTCTCCCTCGTGAAAGGCATAAACGTGTCTGCTGGCCTGGCCGGCAAGGACAATGACAAGCCAACACGCCCTTTTAGGTCGTTCTATTACCTCGGTACATCCTCGGACGTAGAGAGCAGGGTCTTGTCCGGCTGTGTTATCGTCTTCAACGATGCCGTCTAGGAAATTTGGGCCAGAATTGAAAGGCAATCACAATGGAACTGAGGATGTCCGCGCTACGAGCGGTAGCTGTTTCGATGTCATTGACAAGACATGCATCGAAAAGCTTACGGAGAAGGCAACAGCATTAGCTGACGAGGCTGATGGAAATGTCTGCACAATGCTCGAGCGAGGATCAAAGAGTACTTCTCTTGATGGATGTAATGGGTTCGCGGGTAACGGGGGCAAGCTTGGGAATTTCGCTGTTAAATTGCTTGGTGATCTCGACGCGGTAGAATTCCTCGGACTGCTGCCCCATTCAGCCCAAGTCTGATCAGCTGATGGAGATTGCGAGTATCACAGCTCTGGTAAGTGGGATGCTATTCATGTCTAACATACAGTGGTTAATGTATACTCTGTGGAGAGACTACTCAGCAACGGCTCTCTATGACGAGGCCTATAAGATTACACCGGTCCTCACGGTCTTCACTGCAAATGACAACAGCAGTCTCGTGGACAGAACAGCTTCTCAGCTGACATGTCTGAGAGCTGTCACTGTGGAGGATCCCATTGATGACGAGGATAGTAGTGAGAATTCTGCGGTGGCTGTCAAAGCAAGCGGGGTTGCTCCTGGAATTGCAGTACTAACTGGAATCTTTGCGTTGCTGTAGATATCATATTTGGATGGACTGTTTGAAATAGGTGGACTGGAAAGAGTATCAAGTGATGCTACTAATTGGATCGTCGGAATATCAGTCTAAATAAGGTCATGATATGCATACTCCATACGGAGTGCTACCACTTACAATGTAAGGGGGTAGAACGCGCTAAATTAGCGCGACTATCCTGACAGCGACTTCATCTCTCCATCAGACTTCTACAGAGTAAACCACTTACCTTATTCATTCTCAATCAATACATCCATATTAGCCTGGAGATATCACCAAATTAGACACATTGGAAACCCGAGAACAAGCCTGACGCAACCGACTTCCGCATGCGACCCACGGATACGCCAGAAACTCCATCATCCCCATAACCATCCACATCTACACAATGTTCGCAACACAATCTCCTCAAACCCCCTTCCACCAAACCCACTACACTCCAACCCGCTCCTCCCCGCTCCGAAAGCACAACACGACTCCACCCGTATGGACCATGTCCCCGACGCGCAGCATCCAAGGCGCGTCACAAAGCACAGCGCCAAACCCATTCAGCAACGCGCCACCGACTTTCAACATCCAAACCGAACCAGTCGCCCGACACGTACAAAACCACCACTCCCCAATCCCAATGCACTTCAACGCGTCCGCCTCAGCCTCAACAACACCAACCTCTTCAAACCCATTCCTCACCCACACTCAAGCACCCACTTCCCCCTCCTCGCCAACCCGCCAAAAACCGAAATACGAAGCGCGATACGCTTCCACTATCGCGAACCCGCTTCAGGGCGCGGCGGGTCTGGCGCGCTCGAAAACGCGTAAGATATTCCTCAACCGTGTGCGCAATGAGCGTGACGATGGACGCTTTGAGGCGCGTGGGGAGCAGATGATGCGTATGGAGCATCTTGCTGACCGGAGGAGGTGGGAGGAGAGTATGGCGAGGGATGGGGAGGGGGTTATTGCGGGGTTTGAGGGGGAGGTGGAGGAGGATGATATGCTTCCTGGTATGTTAGCTCTTTTTGTCTTTTTTCTTTTCTTTCGGGTTGATTTGGCGGATATGCGAATACGTGTGTGGATTGAAGACTGGGTGGACTGGACTATGCACTGTGCCTAAGAGTATTTGCTGACTTTGGCCTTTGGTAGATGATGTCCATGCGCTTGATGAGTTCATGTCTCAGGAGGAGGCCATGGAGATGGCGCTCAGGGAGACGCAGAGTGCGGTTCCTGGGAGAGTTGGAGATTTACGGTATAATGGGCCCGGTGTGCCGTTTAGTGATGATGAATATGACGATATATTCATGGGATTGCCGGAGCCTCAGGGGAATCAGTGTCAATTTCAGTCGCAGTCTCAGGATATGGATATGTCATGAGCGGCCTAAGGCTACGGTTTAGTGTTGATTTTCTTTTGCGAGCCATTGCATTGGGTGGCGTTTCTGTTTCTATTTCGGTTAGGCGAGATGGAAATCCGGTATGTATATAAAGTAAATAAGGGTATATCGACATGGGTTGCGCATATGTACAATACACAGACAGACGGTGTATGAGTGACAAGGGAACATTGAAACAAGCAAGCCTCGGCATCAAGGCGATGTCTTTCAAGCTCCAATCATACATTTTCAAGATCACATCACTGCTGTGGGCAATCAGGGACTCCGCCAGCTCCAGCCGCCGCACCCCCCAGATCCTCCATTAGGGGATTCGAAACGAGTTCCTCAGGCGGGCTTCCAGCCGCTTGCATCTGGAGACATAGTCAGTATACGCAACTCGAAACAAGATCTCTCGATCCAAATGTAGAAGTAACAACTCACCTCCTGCATCCTCTCCCACACATACTCTCGGCACTTGGGATCATCATCCGAGAAAGTCTTCTCCTCGAACTTCTCCACAATCTGCTTGACAACCCGCGCCTGAGTCTCAAACCGCTCCATATCTTCCGCCGAAACCTTGCCAGTGTCCTTATTTTTCTCAATCCATGGGCCAAACTTGACATCCAACTCCTTCATCGGCTCATACAGCATCTCCTTGTTAGACAACTGCTCCATCATACCCATGAACATCTTCGACAGATCTCCGTCTTCACCAGCACCCGATGCCCCCGCCTCAACAGCCTTAAGCAGCTGGGCCAGCATATCATCCGAGATATCGTCTTCATTACTTGCCGCGGCGGTAGCTTTATCACCGCTTTCTTTCATGCGGCCCATTGTGCGCTTGATGGCGTCGTTGAACGAGTCTGCGGGTTGCTCTGCGCCTGCACTTGCAGCTGGCGTACTAGACGAGCCTTGAGTGCTAGGAGCAGATATGCCGGCCGCGGCCGCGGCTGCTGCGAGATTCTCTGCTGACGCTCCGGCTGCGGACCCACCCTCCTCGGCCATCACGTCGGCGAGGAGTTGTTTGAGGAAATCGCCTGGCGGGATCCCGCTCTCTTCGAGCTGTTTTGCGAATACATCGGCGCCTTGGTCGACCGTTGCTTGGAAGTTGGGGTCTGAGCTGCTTCCGGCGGCCCCGCCTCCCATCATGTTCGCCATGTCTTGTTCGAGTTGCTTGAGGAAGGCATCTTCGTCGAAGTCTGGGGGCGCAACTCCTGTTGAGGGATCGGGCTTGGTGGCGGTGGGTGCGGGTGGGTTTGCGGGAGGAGCGGGTTTGGGTTTGTTAAAGTCGTCGAGGACGTCTGTAGGTGTGAGTGTTTGTGAATCATTCCGCATGGAGGGGCGTGAGGGGGCGGGGTAAGGAAGAGAGGCCGGTATGTGTTACCATCTAGCTCATCGAAGTCTGAGTCTTCATCGTCGTCATTTGCAACTGCTTTCTGCGATTGTGATAGTACTGGTTCTGGTGCCGGTGCAGCATTGGTGTTTGGCGGCTGCGATTCTTGTGTTGGTGTGGTCACGGGAGCCTCATCGGGGCGGTCCTCGGTAGGCAAGGGGGTAGCCATATTGCGCAATAAGAATAAGCAAGTCTGGTTCTCAATTGAAAATAAGGCCCGGTCGGAGTGAAGCTTAATTTTTTGGAGGTAAAAAGAAAGTCTGGAGATGAGGTTGACATGTGACGGGCGTTTGGCGGGGGCAACGCCGATCGCCGAGGGTCTACCTTTTGCCTAGGTACAACATACATACTATATGTGCTAGAATTATATTGTATTGGACATGAGGATTTTTATAGGATGTAGAAATAAAGATATTGATATCTAAAATAAAAGTTTATGTTCTCTACAATTTGCCCAAGGGCACGGTCTTTAAGTCGAGATTCGGCCGATGTACCCTGTCTCCATGTAGAAAGTACCGACTTATGTACGCCGATGAGATCCGGCAAGTCCAAGCACAGATATAAGATCTAGCTCCAAATTGCACACCGGTAAACAACAACCGAGTCCGCACATCCTCCATGAGATCATAAGTCCAGACCAGCTGAAAGCGCGATCATCGTATCCTTGGCACACATATACCCCCCGCATAATTTCAACCAGGTTGTTCCATGCAAGGAAATCCGTAATGCATTCCTTCCAAGTCCGGGGAAGGGGCGTCATCCCACGATGATCTCATTGGGTCTCCGAGGGCAACCAGTTAAGAGTGGCGTGTGATTCGCTTCCAGGTGCCCCAATGGGTCAGGGCCATAAGGTCATGTGGCATCTGAATAGGGCGGAGGACACCGAAGATCCGATGATGGCCAATACTAAGTCAATACTAAGTCAATACTTGGTCAAGATGTTCAAAAATGGGATGATCTGTTATATGTCCGGTATCGGCTATGCGGGTTTGCGCATGACATCCACGTTCAGGGTTCTCCGCGGACAACTTCAAAGTTTTCTTGTAGTTGCAGGTGAATTGCAACAACATTCAAGTTACAAGTTGCATGAAAATACAAGTTCCGAGTATCAACATTACATTACAACCCTTGGAACTGAAACAGGCAGAAACCCCCACAAGACCTCTGTGGAGTGGAAAAGGATAAGGCCATTCAATGAAACGTGGAACCCCAAGAACCAAAAGAAGTTAAGAGAAAAAAAAAAAGAAAAAAAGAAAAAAGTCAAAGAGTTCAAGGGCAGGTACGCGAGAGAGCCCCTCCTGACCGGACAGACTTTTTTTTAGTCAATTGCTTTACACAGGTTATTTTCTTTTCTCTTTTATCTCAATTCCTCTGACTCTTTCTTTCTCATAATTCGGTTTTCTTTATGTCA